TATTTCTTTTGTGCAATAACTTCTAACTACGACAACATGTGCAATAACTACGTCAATATGTGCAATAACCTATGTCCCTGTGTGTGCGTATGTTCCAATCCCGTGTTATGTTTTTGCCCTGGTGTTTCTACAAGTTCTTACCCCGTGTGTTAATGCTCTTACCTGTGTTGTACTTAGATGTCCTTATCTTGTGTCGCACTACTCCTGCACTGCCTGCACTGTCACTATTCCCCCTTTCTCCCTCTATTCCTTACCTTATTCCCTGTAGTAGTATCGCATGCTGCTAGTACTGTGTGTTCTATGTTACCCCAGCGAGTCTACGGTCCCCCCATCCCAAGCATTTCATTGCATTGTAGACCCTGTGTTGAAAGTGCATATGACAAATAAACCCGATCTTGAATCTTGAATCTTGAATCTTGAATGTTGGTTTGAGTACATACTGTTAAAAAAGAGGAGGAAGAAGAGTGAACAAATTACTATGGTACTGTCAAGAAAGGTTGAGCTCAGTATCTAAAAGGTCAATAATCCAAAGGTCATAAACCGAGTGTATCATAGTAGGCTATAAAAACATAGTTCCGCATTTTGGCTAAAAGAAAAGGGGAACATGTGTCGAAATATGCTACAAAAACATGTTGAGACATGTCCCTGATCCAGGGAAGTTCAAAAGGGTAAATGATCAGGGGAAAGAATACAGTGATTTAAGAATATAATGATTTTTATAATGAAGCATGAAAAGAATGAGTAATATCTTGAAATAAAATCATTTATATGTTTTAAATATATTTGCAAGTAACGCAAAATAGGGAAAGTGTCTAAATAAGACTAAGAGAATGATCCTCTGACTAAAAGTGATTGATATAAGAAAGAGTCAGATGAAGTGCTTAATGCTGAAATTAATAAAGTTAAGGAATGTTGTGATTAACATTATAATTCTAAAGATGTGTGTAATAAATGAAAAGAAGTGCTGTGGTAATCTGTTAATCTTAAAGATAAAAAGAGAAAGTATATGAACTGTTGGAAAGTACCGAAAAGACACAGGACAGAAAGGGGAAGTGTGTGACCTGCTGGAAAGTACGGAAAAGATACAGAGAGGATGATCAGGTCATGACGCACATGATAGATAGGTGCCCAAAGGTGGGGGCCTAGGGAGAAGGGAAGATTTGTATAGAAAGAAGGGTGCTTTCACATGCTGTGTTTTTTACATGCTGTACTGTATAAATACAAGGTGCAAGAGCTAAACAGTTCAGTTCGTGTTTCGTCCATCCCCCGGAGGAACGGGACTCACGCAAGAACCCTGTTTTGCCCCAAGTAAGGAGGATTGTGGACTTGTAAGAACTCACGAGAGGAGCAGAAAGAGTTTTTTAACAACTGGGACAGAGTGATAGAAAAAGCATCTCTCCTGGACAGTTTCGTGCCACAAAGAGGAATTGGATTATTTCTCTGCTTCCTTTCGCCACAACTGCCATCGGACCACAAGGGTGCCTCGCCCAGGGGGAAGCGGCCCCGTACCGGGCAGCTTCGGGCGTCGTCTCTTCCGCGGCAGTGAGGACTGAGCGCACCGAGGGCCAACGGTCGTGTCCTTTCCTCCACCACACCACCAGCGGGCAACAGGTTCGGAATAAAAACTATATTTTTGACGTCAGAGCCACAGCACATTTATATCATATTTTGATCTGTCTATTATACTTAAGAGATTGAGTGAGTGTTTACATTATTTTTACGAATTGTTGAAATTTGCTTATGTGCTGCACCCTAATCATTCCAATAAATAAATTCTTATGAGATTAAAAGCAAAAAAGGATTGAAAGAAATTTTGTCATATCAAGCATAGCCTCGCATACAGTAAATTAGAGGTCTTATACGATTAACAACGCAAAAGATTCGCCTACGGTTTAAAGTCTATTCTCCCAGGAAACCCCAGTTACACGCCCCTGACACCGTGAGGTGTTTAAAACCCTTTTTCCGGCAACCAACAAGTGCCAGGATCATGAGAGGTGAGCTGTCATGAATGAGTGTGGTCGCGTGGAGCATCCCGAGTGTCAGGCTGTTCCTCGGCGGTGCGACGTGCGGCGGCAGGGGGGCGGACACCCAGACGGACGACAGTGAGGAGCCGGACGAATCACCTCGACCATAGGCCTACGCAGACGCGCTGGTGGACCGGCGGAGGGTCTCGAGTGAGGGACCCCGGGAGTGAAGTGGCGCAGCCAGCACCCACGCCGGCCCCGCGGGTCCTAACCCCTTACACGGAGGGCCTATCACAGCCGCGGACGGGTGAGCCCGCGGCTTTGGGATATAACAGTACATACAACTATGATTTGAAAATATTCAATGGTATTGCTAGATTACAGAGTGCTATATGTGACAACATTATTTCAAACATTAACCTACAAAAAAGTTATTATTGTCATAGTGTAGTTTTTTTATAGTATTACCAAAGCAACACTATTCAGATGGAAAATACACCTTTCTATAGGCCTTTTTCAGGTGAACCTGACCATTATACAGACCAGTATCTTTTTTTAATCAACTTGTAAAGGTCTTTACACTCTAAAATAGAGTGTGAATGTAGGCTGAATTTGAAGCTCGTGCTGCAAAAATGAATGCTAGAAGTACAACAGAGGACTTACCAATAGGAGTTATTTGAAATTTAAATTGAATTGAATTAAATTAAAATATGATGAAACACAATCAAAATAATGCAAAACTGTAGATACATTATTATATTAAAAGCAGCTCATGATTTCACTTACCGTGATGTCTTCTAGTGATGAGTCAATGATCTCATAGTTGTCAGGTAGACAATAAAACTTGAGTGTGTGAAGGTTGAGGAAAACATGATGGGTAAACTGTACACTGTGAGTATGGGACTTGAGGCCTCGACCTACAATAAAGTTTACACAAATAAATCAGTCCTAACATGAAAACAATATTTTTGAGTAAACACCATTTATTTTGCTTACCTTGAAAATATTTCCCAAATATAAGGCATGCATAGACATTGATGTGGGAGAGAGAGATGGAGCAGAGCTTTTCAAAGTCAAAATCCAACACACTCCTGGAATAAACAAAACTCAAAATCAGACGAAGAGTTGCGAATTAGTTTGCACCAACATTAGAAATGTTGGTGCAAACCAATAGCATAACATCAACTGTACCTGTTTATTGTGTCCAGATATGGACAGTGACGACTTCTCGTCTTCTACTACACGTCCCCGTCTAACTTTGGCTACAACTGCAACATATAGGCAAAAGGTATAAAACTATGATTTAAACAAGCTATTACATGTCGTGGTCCTCTGCCACCCCGGA